CAACGTGTCGGTGGTGCTGGCGGACTCCGACCTCGTGTGTTATTGAAAAAATTGGTTTTTTGGGGGGAATAAATAAAGTTTTGGGAAATTCATCATCGGTGTGAGTGCGGGTTTTTTTTTCGGATTTTTTTGGGCAATTTTGGGGGTTTTTTGGGGAAAAAATGCGGATTTTTGGTGAAAAAATGTGAATTTTTTGGAAGGGAAAATGAGGATTTTTGGGAGGAAAAATGTGGATTTTAGCAGGAGAAATTTGGGGATTTTTCGGGGAAAAAAATGCGGATTTTTGGGAAAAAAATTGTGGATTTTTGTGAGGGAAAATGTGAATTTTAGAAGGAGAAAATGGGAGATTTTTCGGGGAAAAAATGAGGATTTTTGGTGAAAAAATGAGGATTTTTGGCAGAAAAAATGCGGATTTTTGGGAGGGAAAATGTGGATTTTAGCAGGAGAAATTTGGGGACTTTTTAGGGAAAAATGAGGATTTTTGGGAGGGGAAAATGTGGATTTTAGAAGGAGAAATTTGGAGATTTTTGGGGAAAAAAATGCGAATTTTTGGTGAAAAAATGTGGATTTTTTGGAGGGAAAATGAGGATTTTATGAGGAGGAAATGTGGATTTTAGAAGGAGAAATTTGGGGATTTTTCAGGGAAAAATTGAGGATTTTCAGTGAAAAAATGTGGATTTTCGGCAGGAAAAATGAGGATTTTTGGCAGAAAAAATGGGGATTTTAGAAGGAGAAATTTGGGGATTTTTGGGGAAAAAAATGAGGATTTTTGGTGAAAAAATGCGGATTTTGGGAGGGAAAATGTGGATTATAAGAGGAGGAAATGTGGATTTTAGAAGGAGAAATTTGGAGATTTTTGGGGGAAAAAATGCGAATTTTTAGTGAAAAAATGACGATTTTTGGCAGTAAAAATGTGGATTTTTGGCAGAAAAAATGGGGATTTTAGCAGGAGAAATTTGGGGATATTTTGGGGAAAAAATGCGGATTTTTGGGAGGGAAAAATGTGGATTTTAGGAGGTGAAATTTGGGGATTTTTGGGCTGAAATTTGGGGATTTTTGGGGTGAAATTTGTGGGATTTTTTGTCCAACGTGTGGGTGGTGCTGGCGGACTCCGACCTCGTGCGTTACTGAAAAAATTTGGAATTTTTTTTTGGGGAAAATAAAATAGATTTTGGGAAATTCATTATCGGTGTCGGTTGTGGGTTTTTTTCCGCGAAAAAATCAGATTTTTGGGGGGAAAAATGGGGTTTTTTTGGGGAAAAAATGCGAATTTTTGGTGAAAAAATGTGGATTTTTGGCAGAAAAAATGTGAA